TCCCTGGCCCCCTCTGGGGGAGTACCCCCCCCCCAGGAACGTTTCCACCCTTCTCCGGGGACATCCGAGGGCCCAGCTCGCTTTCCCGTGGCACGTGGCCTTTGCCCCCCGTCACAGCCGGAGGCGCGCGGTCAGTGCCTTCTCCTGGCGCCAGGGCCCTAGTCTTAACGAGTGGCTCATCACGGCGTTCCCCAGCACCGCCCGCCGGCGGACCCCACCCGCAGTCCGCAGGAAGCCACGGCTCGGCCTGCGCCGGCCCCGGCCAGCGGTCTGCCCTCTCTGCACAGGCTTCCTCTCCGCTTGTCCCGGCAAACGGCTGTGGGAGTCGGAGGGAGGTGCCGCTGCCCCGCCATTCAGGACGCTCGGTGTTGCCCTGGCCCAGGTGACCTCGTCCTCTTGGGGTGCCCATGTGCCCCCAAGTGTCCTGGCGCTGGAAACAGCTGGATGGGCCGGCAGGACGTGTCCGCTGTATCCAGACACTGGTGGCACATGGGCCCGACGTCCGCTCTGAAGGGACGGACGCACCTTCCCGCCTCAGGGATGCCGGCCGCTTGGCAACCGGCGGGCTCTGGCCCCTGCTGGCCTTTTCCTGCATCCAGCAAGCCGGGGTGACTGGGAGCGGGCCTGGCCGTCTGTGACAGCAGGCGAGTGTCCGGCTGTCACCACGGATCTGGTCTAGCCCGGTGGCAGAAACAGGCACTCCGTGTCCGTGGAAGAAGGGTCGGATCCAGGTCCACGGGTGGGTGGTGGTGGGGCATTCCTCTGTCCTGTTCTCCTGCCCGCGGCATTTTACGCTTGCAAACACCAGGCGTTCCTCTTCCCCGCCCAGCCCTACAGCACACAGGGATGCACAACCGCCGAAGGCCTGCGGCGTGCCGGATCCTGCAGTGACTCGGTGCCCCGTCCTGGATGGACGTGCCAGGTCTCTCTCCACTCACCGTCCCCGTGGCAGCCACACCGCCAGCCCGCCAGGGCACACTGCCCCAGGCCTTGCCTGCGGGACATGCCGGAGAACGGCCTCTCACCGTAGCACAGAGCCCAGGCCCCTGGGATGTTGGTGCCAGGAAGATTCCAGAAGCAGAGCAGGGAGGCGCCCACACCTGCTGCCCAGCTGGGCTCTCTCATCTTGAGCACCAACGTTTTTGCTTGAGGTTTTTCTCTGCCGGCCTCGGGGGTCTACGGAGGCCCAAGCAAGCAAAGGGTGCTTGCATGGGGGACCTCGGTGCCACCTCGTGGGATCACAGCCGGTGTGACCCTGGAGGTCGGTGGATGTCAGCGTCTGAACTACGGCGGCTGGGCCAGTCTCCCCCGAAGCCCCCCACCCGCAAGCCCCTTCCTGGCTCAGCCGGGGGCAGGGAGGGTCTGAGAGTGCCGTGTGTAGAGACTCCAGCCCTGTGTCCCCTGTGCGCTGCCGCCTCCCCTGTGGAGGCCGGAAGCCAGCAGAGGCTGGTCACGGCCATACTCCAACCTCCCTGCCTCCCCCAGGCCCTGCGGCAGGGGGAGCGCAGGTGTCTAGGAGCCACGTGATGGAACGGTCAAAGACTCAGGCTTGGGGGTCAGACCGTCCTGGCCCTGAGCCCCAATCCTACCTCTCACCCACAGTGTCCACCCGGCTCCTGCATAAAGGAGACGGATGGAAGGTCGACCTAGAAAGAGGGCTGTGAGGATGGCTGAGACGCCATTCGGGAAGAGGGCCTGCCCTGGCCCCAGCACACCCACGGTGTGCCCACCAACGCCGGCTGTGGCGCCTGCCTGCCTGTCCTCCAAGTTCTCCCAGCTGGCCACGGTGACAGGCACAGGGGCGGCCAGTGGCTGGGGACAGCAGAGGGCGAATGGAGTGGCCTTAACCAGAGCCCAGAGCTGGAGAACAGACACCCAAACCTTAGCACCACCAGGGCCACCTGGCAGCCGGGGCCCTGCAATTCCTGGGTCCTACCCTCATCCCCAGATTGTAATCCATAGATAGCTCTCGGGGGTCCCCCAGGAGCCTGCAGTTTAACAGCCCAGACACTTCCGGCGCGGGTGGTTCTGCTGGGGCTGTACTCTCAGAATCACCGACAGAGGTGAGGCCGAGTGGGGCCCTGGGGGCTTCTGGCCTCGGGCTCTCCGCAGCCCCAGCAGCGGTTGGCTGGCGGGGTTAGGAGATTCCGCTGGTGGTCTACGGTGCGGCCCGGACCCGAACCTTCTCTTAGCATCCTCTCTCTTGAGCCGTGGGGCAGCCCCCTCCTCCCCGGGACACTGGGCGCGCCCAGGCCCTTGGGAGTCCAGCCGCGGCCGGACTGGGTGCTCGCTGTCGGCAGTCCCTGAGCAGAGGGCCGGGTAAAAGACGGATTCCTGCACCTTTTACGGTGCACAGCCCGCCCCCCCCCCCCAACAGACATACAGGACCTGCAGCCACTCACAAACCCCGCCAGATCTCTAGGGTGAGAAACTCAGGTCTGATGGCTCCTGTCTGAGTCCCAGCGAGCTAGGCCGCAGCCGTGGTCCTTAGAAGCATCACCTCACTCGCCACCACTGGCCAGGCGGGTGTTAGCAGAGACAGGGAACGAGGTTCAGAGGTGCCTTGGCTGGTTGGGGTCAGGTTGTCAGCTCCATCTCCCCGCTGCCTGGGGGAACGCTGCCTGCTGGTGGGTGGCTGGAAGGCAGGGAGCCCTGCCCCGGAGCACGACCGCCCCTCCCGCCCTCAACCCTCCAGCCCCAAAGAGAAAAGGAACTGGTGGCCCAGGCACTGCTGGCTGGTCGGGCCCTGGGGGCGACTCCCGCGAGGTCAGGCCTGGCCTGCAGTCCCACCTCCCAGCTGCAACAGGCCAGCAGCTGAGGCCCCAGTGGCGCACCCAGGGCGCCGGCCTGGCTCAGCTCTCCGCAGCGGCCCCAGCAGGGTAACCCGCCCACAGAAGTCCCGCTGCGGGCATCCTTGCTGTTCTCCTCCTCGCCTTTCATTCTTCCCGGTATTACATACACGCAGGGCACCTTGACTTCCCAGTTCCAGGATGAAAACCCTAACATATGCGTAGGGATTTTCAACCCATTCTAGCTGGGATGCCTTCGGGCCAGCGGATACCTGTGTACACTCGCAGGGCGGGTAATTTTGCACCCGACTTGGAAGGAAGCGCCTTCGAGTTTCCAGCTTGTAACTTGCACATGCGGGGCCACGCTTTTGTGGCCGAGCAGCACGGCAGGGTTGAGGGGAGGGAGCCTGGCCGAATGGGCTCTGCGGAAGGCACAACCCAAGGGATCGTGGTGGCGGCGGCGGCACAAAATCTCGGACGTGGGTGCGGAGGCAATTTTGCCTGCGAAATCCGTCCCTTCCAGGCTTGCCTGGAGCCAGGAGCTCCTGGCAGGAAGGCTGGACTTTCCCTCTCATTCCCAGGCCGCAGGTCCGGCCGGGAGAAAGGGGCCAGGAGCGGCCCCAGGGCCACCCGAGCCAGTTTTCCCCGCACAAGCCCTTCTGGGCGCCTGCCGCCCAGCCGGGCCTGGACGTGGGTGCGCGGGGAGATCCGCTCAAGCCGAGAGGCGCCGCCGGGAGACCAGCAGGAAACTGGGCTTTGCCGCCACCATGGACTCTGGGCCCTGGGCCCCGGCGCCAAAGCTGCGCTCCACCGGGGCTCGGGGCTCGCAGAGGCCGCTGGCGCGTCCTGGCGCCAAGACAGTGGGTGCCGGGGCCGGAGGCTGCAGGAGACCCGGGAGCGCGCCGGCGGAGGGGCCGGCATTGGGTTTCTCCTAATCAGCCCGCTTCCCAGAGCCTCTGTCCTAATTGGGGCGCAGGCTCCGGCGGACAGAGGAGGGGGCCCCCAGCTCCGTGTGCTAGGAGCCCTGGGGGCTGGTCTCTGCACTTGTTTCCCGGCCGGGCACTGGGGGGAGGCGGTGGGTGCGGAGACGGCCGCTGCCCAGGGGGACCCTGCCTGACCCGCGCTGCCGACCTGCTCCCCGGCGCGGGCGCGTGTGGGCCACAGCCCTGCGCCCCGCAGAGCCGGCCCCGGGTCCCGAGAGATGGAATGGAGTCGCCGGCCTTTTGCTGTCCCCTTTATCTCGGTTTTATAGACAGCTGTTAGTTTGGGACATTAATTTGCCCAGGCAAGTTTATTGATAATTTTGATGTAACAGAGCACCGGAGAAATTACCCGCACGTCCAAAATGTCAAATCTGAGAAGAACCAGGTTCAGAGACTCGCGACCGGGCGACGGAGACACTGCGGTGGGTCTGGAATGGCCGCGCCAACAATGCGACTTTTGTGTTTGTTTTCCTCCTTAGCCGGGAGTTGGAATGGAGAGAGAAAGTGGTGGTCAGTGGAAGACACAGGGCAAAAAAAAAAAAAAAATTTTTTTCTTTTTTTCCGAGAAAGGGGCAAAAAATATGGCTTAGTTGGGGAAATGTTACCAGCTTGGAAACGTGCCTGCCACCTTGCTCTCCTACCGACAGCCCCAGCCTTGTCCAAATGTCGACTAGATGTTCAGCTGGGGAAAAGCAAGTATAGGGCACCAAACCCCTAAACAAGACAAAAAAAAAAAACAAAAACAGAACAAAACTTTGAAGTTGATTCGTGAATTACAACAGCTAGAATATGGAACAATAAAGTCTAAAACTAAAAACTCTCATTGGCCTTGGAGTGGTAAAATATATATATATTAGATACACAGACATGTATACATACCTGTGTATCTGTGAGTACATGTAAGTGTAGGCGGATCGTTTGCTTGGTTTTCCCAAGGGGAAGGAGAGCTACAGTTTTTCTTTAAACCCTTGATTATTTCTTTAAAACAAGAAATGACATTTAAGGGGCAGAGGGCTCTTCTTAAAATACAGAAGCCAAGAAAAATAGCTCCTCTTGTCCAGCTTGTACTTTGTGAAATGAAGAGTGAAAAGAGGAGGATCCGCCAAAAAAAAAGAAAAAGAAAGAAGCATTCAGAATTATTCAGGCTGTAAATTTTTAAAAGTCTAGAGGTCCAAAGCCTATCTATGTCTTGGGAGTTTGGAAGACAGTCTGCGATCCCAATCCCAACAAAATACTCGTGAGATTTTATTTCTAGTTGATACAATTTTAAAGGCCAGGTACAAATGTTATACATTTTTTATTTTTGTTCTTTTTTTTTTTTAGGAAAAAAAAATACACAAAAGGCAAAAACATCCTCAAATGGTCATTTTTATACAGTGCAGAAGTAAATTTAAAATACGTGTCACAAACGCTGCACCCCAGCAGCCCAAAATACTAAAAAAAGGAGGGTAAGTCCTTCATATTATATATATATTTATATAAAACATATGGAGATTTGTTTTTACACAGATTGGTCTTTGTCTCAAATTTACAATGGTTATCTAAAAAAAAAAAAAGTTCTACATGGCAAATATTGCCAACAAAGTTACACCATTAATACTAATAAACGGAAGAGCCTACGAGGTGTTGTTTTTGATTATTAGGGGAAGAAAGTAGAATAAATAACAGATGAGCCTTGCTATAGTTTTAAAAGTGCCTTAACCTTTCTGAGTCACCGCAATCCTGAATACCCCCGGTGGCCCGGCCTCCCCGGCTCCCCGCGTCACGCGCTGTGTTCGGCTCATTCTCGGACCAGAAAGTTTACAGTAGAGATCGGGAGAGAGAGAAATAATACCCACCGGTGGAGAAAAAAAAATAAAAATAAAATTCAAGACAAAACAAAAGAGGCTGAAGAGGAGGAAGGTTGGGGGAGGAGGAACCGCAGAGGCCCGGAGGACAGCCGCTCACTCCCTTGGGCTCCGACAATCTTCTCCGTAAAGAGGGAACAGTGGCTTCAGAAATGCAAGTTGTTCTGGGGAAGATCCACCTGCGGTTGCCGCAGGACGCCTTCGAGGTGGGGAGGGGGCACCTCCCCCCTCCTCCGGCAAAAGACGGCTCTAAAAGGAGACTTGCGCGTTCCAAGACATTCTTCCAAAAAATTAAAAATAAAAAGATAAATACTCAACCAAAAAATAAAAGTATTTGATAATGATTGGTCTCACGTGTTTGCCTTCCTTCTAAAATTCTTCCTCCCCCCCCCACACCTTTTGCCACTGGAAGGGAGGAAGGGGGGCCTCAGCAGAATTCTTGTTTAGATGTGGGGGCTTCCCCCCAACGCAGCACCTTCTCGGCCGGCCGTTGATTGCGACGGGATCGAAAACAGACGTGTTTATTTTCCGACGACGACGGCTGCAGTCAGACCGGACCCGGCCGCCACCAGTTTTACAATTTCTGAAGGAGCTGGGGAAGGAGGTGACCACCGACCGACCGGGGCGCCGGGTCTCTGCGTTGGGGATGCCTTTCCGTGCAATCCGGTTGGGGACGGGGGTCAAACCCTTTTCTTCTTCTGCCGCCGCCGCCGACGGTTATACCTCGAGAGTAAAGCAGTTCCTTGCGCCGGGTTCCGAGGTCCCTGCCCCGGCCGCCCTGTGCCGGGAGGGCCCGAGGACCAGGGCCCTACACAGCAGCCTCACATCACGCAGGGCTTGATGTCTTGGTAGGTGACCTGCTGGTGGTAGTAGGAGCCGCCGCCGGCCGAGTGCATGGACGAGGACGCCATGGCGTTGAAGGAGAAGACAAACTCCTTTCGGTCACACATGCTGGGCGACTGGGAGTGATACCTCGGGATTCCTGCCAGGCGAGGGGACAGAGGGGTGGGGGAGCAAGAGGGTTAGCGTCCGTCCGGAGCCAGAGTTCAAGGCCGGGAAGCTGCAAGCTGGGCGCACGGGGCCAGGCCAGCCGGACACAGGGCACCGCCGCCTCCCCACGCCGAGCGCCTCCCCGACTTCCCGACTCTCAGCACTCGGTAAGGCCGGTGGCCCCGGGCAGCGAGGGCTTTCTGCTGGACGCCCGGGGAAGGATCCTGGAGCCCTGGCCGTGAGCCTTGCTCCCCGCAGCAGTGCCCGCTGCCCCAGCCTGTCCCGCCTGGGACACACCGCCTGATCTGGGGCTTCCTGAAGCCCAAGGGGAAGGGGTGAGGGAGTCCGGCTCCCCACCACAAACTCCCCCGCAAGGCCTAGTGGCCTTAACTCCCCCTCGGCGGCCACAGCCAGCACAGGGAGGGAGCCCAAGGGAGGCCGGGAGGCCAGGGTGGAGGGAGAGGCCGGTGCCCCTCAGGCAAGCACCCGGCCATTAGCAGGGGCAGGGAGAGGCTTCCCCGGAGGAAGGGTCCCTGGGAGAACAGGCCCCTCCAGGGCAGCTGGAGCCCAGTAGTGGAAACAGCCGGAGCAGGGCCTGCCCTGCGGAGAGGAGAGGTGGCCTACCCGCCCCAGGCCCAGCGCCTGCCTGCCTCCCGGGGCGGGCTGCTGACAGCTGACCCCTGACAGCCCCTGCTGAGCTCGCACCAGCCTCGCCAGAACCTGGCCCGGAAGGCTGCTGGGGGGCGCCGAGGTGGGCAGTTGGGGAGAGGAGACGAGGAGACGGTTTTGCATCCTCTTTCTCGGAGGGCTTGGCGTGTTTAGGGTGTGGGGGGTCTGGGGGCCTGAAAACCTGGATCCTGAGAAACAAAGTCTGGTCGGCCTGCAGCGCTGACCCTCGCTGGGCCTGGCCACCCTGCCTCTGTTACCACAAAATGCCCCGACTCGGCCTGTCCCCTGAACAGTGGGGAGCTGAGCCTCCCAGCGCACCGGCCCTGGCGGCTTTGGGCCTAACTCTTCGTTCTGCCCAGGCCCTGCGGTGGTGGTGGTGCCGGCTGCAGCTCTCCGGGCAGCCTGCTGGGGCCACCACCGGGGGACCCTCGGCCAGATGGCCAGGGCTGGGACCCCAGCTGCACACGGGGACCAGAAATGAGGTGTGAGAGGACTTAAGGAGCCCACAAAGACTTAGAGTACTGGGGTCTGGGACTTCTCCATAGCATGGGCCTACCTGGACAGGCTTGGGGCAGCCGGCAGTGAGGAGTTGGAACTTTCTGACAAATAAATTGGCCCGAATTGGGGTCAAAAGATGCAATCACCCCTCAAAAGGGCAGGGCCAGGGCCTAGAGGTACCCGGGCAGCTAGCACCTTCCCTCAGCACTGGGGTTTGCCCCGAGGAAGAGGAAGTGGGCTCACCCCGGGTGTTCAGCCTGTTCGGGGCTGGGTCCGAGGCCACTCTCAGATGCTGGGCTCCCGGGGACCAGAGCAGTCCCCGGCCCACCACTCACCTTGCAGCTCGGCTGGGGCGTTGTGGCTGTTCTGGTGCAGGTACGGCTGGTCCAGGGAGTGCGTGGAGAGGCTGCCGGACAGGGGGTTGGCCGCGGGGTTGCAGGGGGACAGGGGCTGCTGCTTGATGTAGGAGGCGCCGCTGTTGAGCGCCGCGGAGGCCGAGGGCGGCCAGGCGGCCGCCGACCCCGAGTACACGGCGTGCGGCTCCATGACCGCGCCGGCGCCGGCGGGCAGCAGCGGGGAGGCCGGCACCGAGCCGTCGTGGTGCGGGTACTCGCCGGCCGCCGCGCCGCCGCAGCTGCCCATGTACGAGTGGCCGCCGTTGGAGGGCAGGTGGGGCACCGAGTGGCTGGGCAAGGCCATGCCGTCCACGTTGCCCGGCAGGTGGCCGTTCATCACGCCCAGGCCGCTCTCCAGCGCCAGGCTGTTGGGCGGGCACGAGAGGCCGCCGGCCGAGCCCTGGAAGCCGTAGGTGTCCGGGAGGTGGTTGAAGCCGAGCCCGTTCACCATGCTGTACATGGGCTTGAGCGCCTGGCATTTCCTTCGGAAGCCGCGCGGCCGGCGGCGGAACGAGCCCTCCTCGAACATGAACTCGCTGGCCGGGTCGATGGTCCAGTAGTGGCCCTTGCCCGGCCGCCCGAGCCCCTTGGGCAGCTTGATGAAGCACTCGTTGAGCGAGAGGTTGTGGCGCACGGAGTTCTTCCAGCCCTGGTAGGAGCCGCGGAAGAACGGGAAGCGGCTCTGCAGGAACTGGTAGATCTCGCTGAGCGTCAGGCGCTTGGTGGGCGAGCTCTGGATGGCCATGACGATGAGCGCGATGTACGAGTAGGGCGGCTTCTCCGGGCGCCGGATGCCGGCGTTCGTCTTCTTCGCCTTGGACGGGCCTGACGACGCGGGGTCCATGGCCCCGCCGCCTCCCCCGCCGCCGCCGCCGCCGCCGCCGCCGTGCGGTGGCTGCTGCTTCTCGGGCGCCGAAGACATCGGGTGGCTGCTGCCGCCGCCGCCGCTTCCGCCGCTGCTCTGCGCTGCAGACAGGCCGGGAGGAGGAGGAGGAGGAGGAAGAGGAGGGGGAGGGGGAGGGGGACGAGGGGGAGGGGGCTGCGCGCGCGGGTCTGGCTGCACCTCTGCCGTCATCGGCGGCCACTTCTCCCGAGCGAGCCTGGCGCGCCCTCCCCCGCCCGCCCGCCCTCCCCGAGGAGCTGCTGGATCCGCAGGCGGTTGGCTCAGAGCCCCCCTCGCTCCAGCTCCCGCCTCCCCCGACTCTCTCCTCCCTCTTTCGCTCTCGGCCTCCCACAAGGGAAGGAGCCGAGCCGAGGCCGAGGGCAGCCGGGGCGGAGGCCGCGCGGAAGCTCCCCCCACCATCCCCCGCCCCGCCCCGGTGTTGTAGGGGGAGGCACCACCTCCAAGGCCCGCGGCCGTGCGCCCCGGCCCCGAGCAGCGCTGGGTCACCGCCGCCCGCGGCGCTCGGCTCCAGGATTCCAGCCGAGGCCGCTTTCCCTGCGTCTCCGCGCGGCGGCGTCTCGCGGGCCGGGCGCAAGACCCTCCAGGAGTTCCCTCCCTCCCGGCCCCCCTCCGGCCCCCGCGTTGGTGGGCGCTTAAAGAGCCCCCACCCCCGCCGCCCCGCGGCCGCCCGCAGAACCCGCCCCTCCTCCACCAACCTGGCGAGCAAGTGTTAATGCGCCCTGGGCCCGAGGCTCAGCCCCGACGCGCGCAGGCCTCCGCCTTCCCCGCTCGCGCGGCGGCGCGGCGGGAAACGCGCCCTGGGCCCTGGCCTCCCCCGACGCGCGCAGCCCAGTGGCAAAGCGCAAGTGCAGCGGCAGCGGCGGCGGCGGCCGCCAGGTCGTCACCATCGCGGGCACAGCCGGCTTGGCTCCCGGTCCCCGCGCCGGCCGGCGTAAGTTCCCGCGAGGGACCGCCTACCCACTCTCCCCGCCCCGGGAAGGACTGCGCCGCGCCCGGGATTTTTCGGACTCGCCCAGCAGCGCGCTAGCGAGCGGGCAGCCGCCTGGGCCGAGCGCAGGCAGAAAACGAAAGCGCAGGGCGGGTCTCGGCCGCTTTGTCCCGGCGGCGCCGCGGGCCTGAAGGGGACAAGGAGAACCCGCTAGCCCAGCAGGGACCCAAGCCGCACAGTCTCCCGGAAAACCGGCCTACTCACTCGCCCATGCGTGCGCGCACGCGTGCACTTGTGCACACTTAGCACACACATACATGCTTTGATGCACATGCAAACCGGTGGATTACACGTAGACCTGCAAACACACCTACGCGTGAGTTCCCGCTCACGCACAGAGGGCGCTCGGGCAAGTGCGCACCCACCAGTGCGCTCGCTCTCACGATAGGCACACAGGCGCTTGGCTTCTCACTCCCACTCGCGTCCACACGCCACGCTCTGATCTGAACCCACACGCAGCCTGGTTGTCCTCCCCGCCACGCACACACGCGGAAAACCCGCCTATTTGGCCCTGCGGCCGTGGCGGCCCCATTTTCCAAGCCCAGGTTCCGATTTCCCGAGAGATGGCAAAGGCCCTGGCAGGAAGTTTACAGGGCTTAACGTAAACACGTTCTGGGTGATTCTTTAATAATAATAATAGAGAATTCCGCGCGCGGGGGGAGTTGGCCTAATGCCTCTGTGGGCTCAGCCTGCCGCCGCCGCGGGGCCTCTGACACTGCGCGCCAGGCCAGGTTCCCGAAAGCAGACGGCGCGGGCGGGAAGCGCGGGCCGGGGCGGCCCTAGCGCTCCTGGCTGCCGGCCCGCGGGGGACGCACGCAGGCCTCCCCGCGCCACCCTCGTAGCGCAGGGGTGAGGGCCAGGGCGGTGGAGCCGGGGAAAGGCGGTGCTGAGCGCGGAGCGCAGGACGGCGCAGGAGCCCCGGCGCGATGCGGCGCGCCAAGACCCGGGTGAGTGCGGTTCTCGCGCAGACTGCTGTGCACGGGGGAGGCCTCTCTCGCCAGGGTCCCCAGTCGGGAGGAGGGGGCCAGGGGTGTTTGAGCGGGTCAACGCGAGGAGCCGAGCGGCCGTGCCCGGCGCGAGCTGGGGGGAGAGGCTTGTGCTGGGCTCAGAGCTGGGCCCGCGGCGCTTTCAAAGCCCGGCGACCTCTCCTGCTTCTCCGGACTCCTTGTCCCCCGCCGACTCCTCCTCCCTCCCGTGATCGGACGCCTTCAGCTTCAGTGGGAGACTCCTTGTCGCCTTCTGGGCGCCTGACATGTCCGTGCGAGGAGCTGGGGGGGGGTCGCCGGCGTAGCCTGCCCACTGTCGCTGCCTCCTCCGGTGGAGCCGCGCTCCCAGGAGCCCGGGGCTGCGCTTCCGCGGGCCTCTCTGGGCCTCCCCGCGGCAGCCTGGCTAGCCTAGGCAAAGGGTGAGTGTGGGACGTGATCGTGTAGTTTGTGGTTGTGTGTTCGCGCACGTAAACGCTTACTGGCACACCCACTCCCCCTCCGCACAGCGTGGGCACACAGAGACACCCTCCGCACTGCTCGCGGCCTCGCGGCCTCGCGTACACCTTCCCTGCGAACTGCCGCACGGACAGCTCTGGCGCCCCCAGCCCTCGGTCGGACGCGCAGTCCTGCCCACCGGTGTGCGGGCCACTCTGGGCTGGTGCACAGCCTCGCGCGTGTCTGCGTGCTCTGCACCGCGCGTCCCCCCACGCGTAGACAGCCACCCTGGCACTCCATGCATGGTACGGCCGCGCCGCGCCCGCGCCCATGTACACGTGCGCCACGCGCGCTTCGTTCCCTACCTGCCCCGTCTTTTTAATTTTTTTTTTTTTTTTTGCCAAACGGCAGCTGCAAATGAGGAAGCCCTGGCCACAGGAAGAAAGTTCCCAGGAAGGGGTGGCTACTGCCAGCTGCCAGAGCGCATCTGGCCTTTAGCAGAGAGGGGGAGGGGGAGGGTGCCCGATCTTAAGCCAGCTGAGGGTCCAGCGGGAGCGCACCCGGAGACTCCCTGGAAGTGGAAATCTCCTCGCCCTTCCTCTCGCCCCTCCCCCACTCATCCTCCCAAGTGGTGGTATCTACAGTGCGTGAAGTTGGGGGGCCCTTTTTCTAGTAGTCTCCTTCCCTCTTCGGCCCTCTCCGCTTGGGGATGGGGTGTAGATTCCATCTTGGACTAACCCGAAGACCAGCTTTTCCTCCTGTACATCATTGTCTCTCACAGGATCTTACTGGGGGCTTCTTTTTGGGGTGAGGGAGCGCCTGCCTTCCTGGAGAGGAAGCATGGAGTGGAGTCGGGACCCCACCTGGCCTCCTCTCACCCCTTCAGCTCTGGCAGCAAACCAGACTTTGCAGGGGAAGGGCTGAAGCCACTGCGCCCCGGGGAGCGAGGGCCCAGTAGCCTGGGAGTCTCAGGAACGCCAGAGATGGAGACCCAACTTCTCGCCTCTGCTGGGTGTGGAGGGAGGAGGGGGTGTGAGAAGGAAGAATAAACGCCAAGTTCTGTAATTTAGAGGGGACCCTCCCCTCACTTCTGGGGGAAACCACAGCCACAGCAAAGAGCGCTTTCCCGTATTTCCAGAGACTAAATTCTGGGTTCCTAAGATGCCTCAGAGAGGTCTCCCTTAATCCTGCATTTTTGGAGTGGGGAAACTGAGGCCCAGAGAGGACTTGGCCAGGTCAGCCGGCAGGGGGAAGCGAACGCCTCCCCATCGTTCATCTCTGTCCCCAAGGACAGAATAGCATGGCATTTTACCACCCCCGTGCCTCTCTACATAGGCCGAGAGTGGAGAGAGTGGGGTTTGGAAATGCTTCTTTGACCCCACACCCCTCCTGCCCGGGCTCCAGGGGGCAGAGACACCCACCGGAGAACCGGTGGTGGTGACAAAATAACATCAACAACAGCAGCGAACACCAGCCATAGGACTTACTGGTTGCTGAGCAGGCGGGAGGCACCGCTCCTGGCTCTTCAAACCGCGGGTGGACATTCTTAACCTTCCTCTGGACTGTGAACCCCTTTGATAAACTGTTAAAAACTACAGTCCTGCCTGCCCCTGCCCCAGAAGGTGCGTGCCTGTGACAGTTGTAGAGTGCTTTTGGAGCTGTCACCAAATGCCCGGGGCCCGTCCAAGAAAACAGGAGCCTGGTGAAATGTCCCAAGGATACTTGTGTAGTCTTCACAGAAGCCCCAAAACCAAGTCAGTATTAGTCCTTTCCCTGCACCCCGATTTACAGAAGGGCCGCGCAAGGTCGCTCCATGTCCTAAGTGCCCCTGCTGGGAGGGCCAGGGTCCAAATCTGGTCTGATGGCAGGACGGGGCATTCTGCTCCCGGGCGGCAGGGTGAGGCGGCTGTGGGCAGGGCTGGGAGCGACTGTGCTGGGGACTCCCAGGGGGGCTAGTATCCCGCAAAGCTGCAAGTGCTTTGGTTTCCTTACCCCAAAAAAATGAAACTAATAATGCTACCGATTTGTTGGGACTGTGGGAGGCTTGGACAAGACTGAGCAGGGAGAGGCTTAGGCTATTCAAACAGAAACAAACAAAAACTCCAGGGGCTCAGCTCCAGGGACTCGGGGAGGGACCGCAGACAGGAGCAGGGATATTGGGCAGCTTTTTGCTCTTAGCTTAAAATCCATAAAGTTCGCGCTTTCCCCCCCCCCATCCCAAATCAAATCTGCGCCCCAGCGCCGGCCCCAGGAATCCCAAAATTGGCGGGGATGGGGGGGGGTGTAAAAACAGACACGCCTGCGACGTCTCTCACTGCCCAGGCCCAAGGTATTTTTACTGGCTAATTGCTTAAGTGAAGCCGCCCGGGCCGAGAGCGCGCCGTAACCCGAGCGGGGAACCAGATCCCGCTCGGATTGCGCCCGGCCGGCCGCGCGGGCGGGGGCAGGGCGGCCGCCGACCACCCACCGCGAGGGCAGCCGCCCAGCCTGCCGCCGCCGCCGCCCTGCTCCGCATTAGCGCCGGGCCCGCGCCCCCCTCGCCGCGCTCCCTCGAGTCCCCTGCGAGGAGGCGATGTCCAAACGGTGCCCCGAGGTAGGGCGGGCAGGGCCCCAGGCGGGGCGCGGGCGCTGGGGCTGGGGGCGGCCAGTCTGGGGGGCGTCGGAAGCGAGGGGAGGACCCAGCAGCCGGGAGCGAAACTTCTGGGTCGGCCCCGGGGCGCCGGGCGGGGTATTTGCGGGCTGAAAAGGCAGCCCTTGGGGACCGTGGGGGAACGCCAGGGTCAGGGGAGGGGGCATCCAGTGGGGATTATAAGGCGATCTGGGACAAATACCCCAGATGTTTCTCTGCAAGGCCACACTCCACGCCGTCAGCCTGCAGAGCAGGCAGGGGAAGGCCTTGCCGGCCCTCAGCGGCCTCCCCTGTAGGCAGGGGGGCGTAAGGTGGGCGTCCAGGATGAGGGGCAAGGTACACAGAAGAGCGTCAGGTCCCTGCGCTCAACATCCTAGGAGGATGTGGGCACGATGTGGCGGTTTCATGTGTACCGAATATATATATATGTGTGTGTGTGTGTGTGTATTTTTTTTTCTTTTTTTTTTTGAGACTCAGTCTCACTCTGTGACCCGGGCTAGAGTGTCCTGGCATCAGCCTAGCTCGCAGCAACCTCAAACTCCTGGGCTCAAGCAATCCTGCTGCCTCAGCCTCCCGAGTATCTGGGACTACAGGCATGTGCCACCATCCCAAGATAATTTTTTCTATATATTTTTAGTTGGACAATTAATTTCTTTCTATGTTTTTAGTAGAGACAGGGTCTCACTCTTGCTCAGGCTGGTTTCGAACTCCTGACCTTGAGCGATCCGCCCGCCTCGGCCTCCCAGAGTGCTGGGATTACAGGTGTGAGCCACCGCGCCCGGCCTGTAATGACTATATTAAGATGTGAACAAGATAACAAAATGCAGGCAGAATATTGGAGTGCAGCACGAGGCATTCTGTACAGACATGTGTACAAGACAACAGTTGTATGTACACAGACTCTTTAAGATGTGCACGGTATAGCGTGTTATGCACACGGAACAATCTGGGGGGGGTGCCGGATAATGCATCCTGGACTTGGAAGAGCGTGAGCTTTGTGAACCATGTAATCTGGCATGTAGACAGAGTGTGTGCACCGTGTGATGGGTACACGCAGGATTCACTGTGGCGCGTGTGCAGTGCCTGCGGGCCCAGCACGCCTTGGGAGACGTGTGATGCAGTATGAATTCTGGTTACAACGTGTTGCCAGGCCATGGGGTGACACGGTGACAGATGCCCTCCCTGCACGAGCACCAGGCAATGTGTGTGGGGGCTGCGTGCACGGGGCTGCGTGCACGGGGCTGCATGCACGGAAGGGCGGTCAGCGGGTTTGCAGGCAATCCAGCTTCATAATGGAAATGCAGTGGCCACAGGGCTGACGGTCACTGGTCACCGAGGCCTGCCCGTGAGCCCGTGTGCCCCGAGGCTAGGCACCCCCGTCATCCCCAGCTCAGAAAAACCACACCACGACCCTGCAGGGCAGATTCTGTTTTGATCTCAGGGCCCAGGAAAGGAAAGGGATGCTCCATCCTCCTATTTTACTTCTGTAGCAATGGAGTAATTTTTACCTGCTTTTTTGCCCTGGAAGGGGTGTGCGAACCCCAAGATGGAGGTCCTCTTGCAAGAGAGGCTGTGGGCGCTGGTGTTTGGGCTCCTATTGCAGCTGCAGAGAGCAGATGCGCACAGAGAGGGTGGACAGACAGCAGGAGAGGCCCCGAATCCTGGGCCCCATACCCTCATTTTGGGGTGCTGTCCCCGCTGGTGCCTGGGGCTGTCAGATCAAACTCAAAGCACGGTAGTCAGGAGCAAACCGGCCCCCGCCCCCCCCCACTCTTCAGCGGGGTGCACAGGCGAGAAAGGCAGCGCCCTCCGGCTTCACCCCACTCAGCCATACCCGCCACACCCACGTGGCACAGAGGGGGCTCAGAACCCACGTGTGGGGACCCCCAGGGCCAAGTTTGGGGAGCAGCTGTGATGAAGGCTGCCCTGGACTGGGGCCCTGGCCCTTCATCTTCCCTGTCAGCTATACATTTTTAGGGAGAGGTTCAGAGTTTGGCCAAGAAAGAAAAAAAGCAAAGCAAAAAAAACCCCAAAAAAACACACAAAAAAACCAAAGGCTTGAGCTGCTGCCCCAGCCGCAGGCTCACCCCGTCCCCTGGCCCTTTTACCCGAAAGCGCGGCGGATTTTCCGTGACGTTCTTCAGTGAAATGTTTGACAACACTGCAGCCCAGTAATTCACAGCCTTCTTCCCTTGGAGATTTTTGGGAATTAGCAGTACGTGCAACAGGGGACGGTGAGCCGTCTGGCCGTCCCTATCTGGATGGGCCTGGCGTCCGCGGCTTGCTCTCCCTGCAGGGGTAAGCCCCAAGCACCCTGGTGTATTTTTAATCTCTGCTGGCTGCACAGATGTGCTGTCGGAAAGACGCAGAGAATATTTTCCTTCCCGACTGTCGTGTGTGTCTCTGTGTGTGTGTGTGTGGGGGGTGTTGAAGGGGCCCCCAGAATTTGTTTCTGAGCAGAGGACGGCAGTGAGAGTGGAGACGGAAAGGCGCAGTGGGCAGGGGAGAGGCGCTGAGCCGGTGGTGTTTACTCGCGGGGTGGAGATCCCAGTGGAAACCAGTCCCCAGGTCCCGCTGAGTGGGGAGGAGGGTCGAGAGAGGAGAGGAAAGTGAACGGGCTTCCAACAGAAACAAACCAAAAGGAAAGTACGAATTAGACTGCAGTGGCCAGGTACCCCACGTTTTTTCGGATTGGAAGGGGACGCAGTGAGAGGCGCGGCTCAGCCCGCGGGGAGGAGGGGGTCCTCGGGGAGGCAGAGGTGGGAGGCGCGTGCTCAGATCTGCTTGCTAATCAAAAGCAGCGACCGTGAGTACACCCAAAATGTGCCCATCGCTCTCCATTCGGAGCTTGTAACGTCCTGTCTGTTCCCGTTTAGAGGGTGTTGAAAATGATGAAAACAAGCGGGTATTTTTAGGGAGAAAACAAAATCTGCTCAGCCCTGGCACCGCCTGGGAAGGGAGGGGGGGCTTCACCTGCCCAGAGACGCTGCCTCCAGCCCGGGTGCGCTGAGAACTTGGGGCGACTCCCCCCTCCTCCTCCCCACCCCGCCCTCCAGGTCTGGTTCGGGTCCTTTTGTCCCAAGCGGGCTGCAGCCTGCTGCAGGGATCCCCAGAAGCATTTGACCGTAGGTTTGTGGGAGGTTGCTCGGACTGCCGGGCCGGCTTTCTGTTTTTATTTTTGTTTTTCCACGACGGGTGGGTTGGACAGCCAGCTCTTACCGCTCCGCGTGGGCACGGGTGACACAGGTCATCCTGGGAAGTCGGTGAGAAGGCAAAGTTGTGGTGGGGAGCCGGGCGGGGTCCACACAGACCAGAGAGACGCAGAGACCCCTCCAACCGCCACCCCACATTTGCTGTCAGGGCGCAGAGGCATCTGGGTGGGCAGGGGGACTGGGGAGGCCCCAGGACACACGCAGAGCTTGGGAGAGGACTTGGGGCCGGGCCGGGGCAGCACAGTGAGGGAGGTGTGGATAGGGTTCCCATGTCTGGAGGGCAAAGCCAAGGTTGAGAGACAGCGACAACACAGATGCCCATAACCTCCATTTGGGAAGAGTGCATGTCCTTGCTGGTCCTGGGGCTGTCAGATCAAACTCAAAGCATGGTAGTCAGGAGCAAACCAGCCCGGCCCCCCCTCTTCAGCGGGGTGCACAGGCGAGAAGGCAGCGCCTCCGGCTTCACCCCATCGCCACACACAACCCGTGGCACAGAGGGGGCTCAGAACCACGTGTGGGGACCCCAGGCCAAGTTTGGGGAGCAGCTGTGATGAAGGCTGCCCTGGACTGGGGCCCTGGCCGTTCATCTTCCCTGTCAGCTATACATTTTTAGGGAGAGGTCAGAGTTTGGCCAAGAAAGAAAAAAAGCAAAGCAAAAAAACCAAAAAAAACACACAAAAAAACCAAAGCTTGAGCTGCTGCCCCAGCCGCAGGCTCACCCCGTCCCTGGCCCTTTTACCCGAAAGCCGGATTTTCCGTGACGTTCTTCAGTGAAATGTTTGACAACACTGCAGCCCAGTAATTCACAGCCTTCTTCCCTTGAGATTTTTGGGAATTAGCAGTACGTGCAACAGGGGACGGTGAGCCGTCTGGCCGTCCTATCTGGATGGGCCTGGCGCCGCGCTTGCTCCCCTGCAGGGGTAAGCCCCAAGCACCCTGGTGTATTTTTAATCCTGCTGGCTGCACAGATGTGCTGTCGGAAAGACGCAGAGAATATTTTCCTTCCGACTTCGTGTGTGTCTCTGTGTGTGTGTGTGGGGGGGGTGTTGAAGGGGCCCCAGAATTTGTTTCTGAGCAGAGGACGGCAGTGAGAGTGGAGACGGAAAGGCGCAGTGGGCAGGGAGAGGCGCTGAGCCGTGGTGTTTACTCGCGGGTGGAGATCCAGTGGAAACCAGTCCCAGGTCCCGCTGAGTGGGGAGGAGGGTCGAGAGAGGAGAGGAAAGTGAACGGGCTTCCAACAGAAACAAGCCAAAAGAAAGTACGAATTAGACTGCAGTGGCCAGGTACCCCACGTTTTTTCGGATTGGAAGGGACGCAGTGAGAGGCGCAGCTCAGCCCGCGGGGAGGAGGGGTCCTCGGGGAGGCAGAGGTGGGAGGCGCGTGCTCAGATCTGCTTGCTAATCAAAAGCAGCGACCGCGAGTACACCCAAAATGTGCCCATCGTCCTCCATTCGGAGCTTGTAACGTCCTGTCTGTTCCTGTTTAGAGGGTGTTGAAAATGATGAAAACAAGCAGGTATTTTTAGGAGAAAACAAAATCCGCTCAGCCCTGGCACCGCCTGGGAAGGGAGGGGGGCTTCACCTGCCCAGAGACGCTGCCTCAGCCCGGTGCGCTGAGAATCGGGGCGACTCCCCCCTCCCCCTCCCACCCGCCCTCCAGGTCTGGTTCGGGTCCTTTTGTCCCAAGCGGGCTGCAGCCTGCTGCAGGGATCCCCGGGAGCATTTGACCGTAGGTTTGTGGGAGGTTGCTCGGACTGCCGGGCCGGCTTTCTGTTTTTATTTTTGTTTTTCCACGACGGGTTGGACAGCCAGCTCTTACCGCTCCGAGTGGGCACGGATGACACAGGTCATCCTGGGAAGTCGGTGAGAAGGCAAAGTTGTGGTGGGGAGCCGGGCGGGGTCCACACAGACCAGAGAGACGCAGAGACCCCTCCAACCGCCACCCCACATTCGCTGTCAGGGCGCAGAGGCATCTGGGTGGGCAGAGGGACTGGGGAGGCCCCAGGACACACGCACAGCTTGGGAGAGGACTTGGGGCCGGGCCGGGGCAGCACAGTGAGGGAGGTGTGGATAGGGTTCCCACGTCTGGAGGGCAAAGCCAAGGTTGAGAGACAGCGACAACACAGATGCCCACACGCACATGCACACACACACAATGCACACACATGCACACACGCACAATGCACACACATGCACGCACGCACACGCATACAGAACGCATTCAGATGGATGGATCTCTTGGGCTGCCGCAGGGGTGGGCCCTTGGGGAAGAAGGGAAGCTTGGGGTGGCCAGAGAGCCGTGCTCCGGAGGGCTGGGGCCCCAGCCCTGAGCCCAGCACCAGCGCAGGCAGGAGGCCCCCAGAGGTAGAGAAGGGGCCAGCCCCGAGGGACACTAGCTCTGAGCCCGGGGCCAATGGTTTAACCTCTCAGTGCCTCAGTTTCCTCACCTGCAGAACAGGAAGAGTGGTGACACCTCCCTTCTGGGCAGTTGACTTGATTGACTTGATTGCATACGTTAGGAGTAGTTAGCTGTGGCTGTCGTTATTGGGGTGCACAGGCTCCTCAAGCCTGGTCTCTTGAGGCTTCTCTTGGCAGGGCCAAGGATTTGGTGGCGTGAACACAAGTAGCGGAGTCCAAGCTTATGGGTGGCAAGCGCCTTCCCATCTGGGCTGTGCAGGAGAGTGAGGATTAGAGTGGCCTGCTTGGGCCCACTGAGAACTCAGAGCAACTTCTCCATGGCAAAAAGATGACACAGTCTCAGGTGTACACACCCCCATCTCCGCACGGCCGGCCGGCCGGGCTTGGCCTCGGTGGCCCTCTGCAGTGGACAGAGCCCCCTCCTCAAGGGCTCAGCCAGCCCCAGACCTGGATCAAAATCCTAGCTCCTTGCCCCATCTGCTGTGCGCCCTCTGGCCAGCATCTTGACCTCTCTGAGCCTCCCCTCCCTCCCTTTTAAATAGCGGTACTTGCGCCCCAGGGCTGCCGGGAGGACCCAGTGAGAGCAGCATTATCCTTAGAGAGCCACGGAGCCATTTCACGGACAGGGAAGCAAGGCTCAGCCCCGGGGAACACAGCCAGGGCCCAGTAAACGTTGGGCCGGTTTGAAGGCGCCCCCCCCATCCCGGGGGCAGGAGTGCAGACCCTGCGGACTCTGGGCTGCCTTTGGCAGGTCCGGGAAGGACACAGGGCAAGTCCTCGTGCATTGGGAGGCTCTGTTGAGTGGTTACGGCAGGTTTAAAAGCCCCCTTGCCCGGCTTCCCAACACACTTAATAACTAAATGACAGCCTCTAGCCTGCGGCCCGCCCAGCCGTCCTGCCCTGGGGCTAGGGAACAATCTGGGAACTCCTGGGGAGGCCCCCCAGGCTCCCACCCCCACTTCCCAGCAGGGTGCCGCCCTGCACCGTCTGGCTTCTGAGAAGGGCCGGGAGGGTGGCGGGTGGGGTCCTTCTGTCCCGAACTTCAGCACTTTCTGCTGCTGTTTTTGACGGGGGGGGGGGAGCCTCACTGAGCCCCTTGGCTGTCCCCTCCCCCAGGGTGTTCAGGGAGAATCTTGGCTGAGGCTCTTTTTAAAGCATGAAATCGGAGCAGGAGGACTTTGGGCAAAGGGAACCCTTGGGGCGCTTCCAACTTAGCTCCTCGGAGACCCCAGGGGCCCCTGCTCCCCTCCCCTCCAGCAGACCTCCCCGGGAGTTTCTAGGAGCGGGGGTGGCCCTGCGCAGCCCCCGCAGGAGGTCTCCACCTGGAGCCATCCTAGAGACCCTGCCCCGCAGCCCTGCGGCCTCACACGGGGAGAGCTCCTAGCAATTTAAAATTCATTTTTGTCCCTTTTTCTTTTTCTTTTTTTTTTTTAGGATTATTGTGTTACCTCTCACTCGGCGCTCCCCTGGTTTCCGGCTGTCCGTTTTCTACCTTGTAGAATTTACAAATCAGACGGAGGCAAAAACATAACGTAGCCACTCAAATTGCCTAGTCCTTTTATTTTGAAACATACTTTATCAATGTTTGCAAACACACGGAATCTCTGAACAAGTTGGTCACACCCAGATCCTAGCAGCAGTTCGTTTTTAAAGTAATTTCCTCGGTCCGCTTGGTTTTCATGCCCACACTTCATTTCTCCACCTCAGCTCCAATGACTGCCCATCCTGGGTGTTTTCGTCTTAATAGTTAGCAATTCATTACCTGCAAAAATTCGATCCCCGACGTGGGGAGCTGTTTAAGACCTGCTGTTTTTTAAAAAGCATAAACCTCAAAGTATGTTAAATATGTTGTTAGATTCCCAAGGTCAGAATGGATCCCTTTATCTTGCTCTTCCTCCCAGCTGGCTTTCCTCCGTAAGGGTGGAAAACGACTTAGCTCGTCTGAGCAGCTGCAGGCGAAGCTTCCGCCTCTGCACCGGGGTCATCGTCCCCCCCTCCCCAAATTGGCCTGAGCCCCATTTAATTCAGCATGAAAACTAACC